GGGGGGCGGCGCTGTCACTCAAACCCAGTGGGGGGCGGGGCCATAGAAAAGGGGCGTGGCCCCCACAAAAAGGGGCGGGGCCCGCGCTTTTCCGTCGGTATTTACAGGGACCCCCCCTCGGGGGGGGTTTGGGGGGTCCCGGGGATTTTTGGGGGGGGGTCCCCACCTTCAAACGCGTTTTGGGGGGAAAGGGGCGTGGCCACACTTAAGCCACGCCCCCATCACACAGGTAATTTTAGGGGGGAGGGGCCAGCGCTGGTTTTTGAGCATTTTTGGGGGGTGGGCGTGGTCAGGACCCCCCCCTCAGTGACATTTTTTTTGGGGGGGGGGTCAGGAATATTTCCCCGAGTATTTTGGGGAGGTGGGCGGGGTCAGAAGCCCCGCCCCCAGGCCATTTTTGGGGAGGGGCGGGGCCTATTGGAGCAGGTTTTTTTGGGGGGGTCCGGGCCGGGTTTCGGGCCCCCCCCGCGGGGGGGGGGGGGGGTTGGGGGTCCCGGGGATTTTTTGGGGGGGGGTCCCCACCTTCAAACGCGTTTGGGGGGAAAGGGGCGTGGCCACATTTAAGCCACGCCCCCACCACACAGGTAATTTTAGGGGGAGGGGCCAGCGCTGGTTTTTGAGCATTTTGGGGGGGGTGGGCGTGGTCAGGACCCCCCCTCAGTGACATTTTTTTTGGGGGGGGGGTCAGGAATATTTCCCCGAGTATTTTGGGGAGGTGGGCGGGGTCAGAAGCCCCGCCCCCAGGCCATTTTTGGGGAGGGGCGGGGCCTATTGGAGCAGGTTTTTTTGGGGGGGTCCGGGCCGGGTTTCGGGCCCCCCCCGCGGGGATTTTTTGTGTTTTTTTTTGGGGGGGGCCTGTGAAGTCAAAGTCACAAATTCCCAGCTCTCAGCCCCTGGTTGTTTTTGGTTTTTTTTTTGTTTGTTTGTTTTTAGTTTTGTTGGTTTTGGTTTTGTTTTTTTTTGGGAGTTTTTTTGTTGGTTTTGGTTTTTTTGGGGTTTTTTTGTGGGTTTTTTGTGTTTTTTTTTTGGGGGGGGGGCCGGGGTTATTTGACCAGGGGCCGCGTCTTGTCGTCGTCGCTGCACTGGTGAGCTTTGTACTTCTGCACCTCCGCCAGGTACTTGGCCCACGCGTCGCCTTTACTCGTCAGCACCTGGCCCCGGGGACGGCCCCCGTCAGCCCAAACCGGCCCAAAATCACCCCAAAATCAGCCCAAAAACTGGCCCAAAACCAGCCCAAAACCAGGCCAAAACCAGGCCAAAAACCACCCAAAAAATGACCCAAAATCAGCCCAAAACCAGCCCAAAAACCGCCCAAAAAATGACCCTAAATCAGCCCAAAAATGACGCCTTTACTCGTCAGCACCTGGCCCCGGGGGACGGCCCCGGGTCAGCCCAAATCGGCCCAAAATCGGCCCAAAATCAGCCCAAAACCAGCCCAAAAACCGCCCAAAAAATGACCCTAAATCAGCCCAAAAATGACCCAAAATCAGCCCAAAATCAGCCCAAAACCAGGCCAAAAACTGGCCCAAATGCACCCCAAAACCAGGCCAAAAATGGACCCAAAGTTACCCCAAAAACTGACCCGGAATGGCCCAAATTCACCCCAAAATCAGCCCAAAAATGGACCCAAAGTTACCCCAAAAACTGACCCGGAATGGCCCAAATTCACCCCAAAATCAGCCCCAAAACTGACCTGAAATGGCCCTGGATCAGCCAAAATCAGCCCAAAACCAGGCCAAAAACCGCCCCAAAAATGACCCTAAATCAGCCCAAAATCAGCCCAAAACCAGGCCAAAACCAGGCCAAAAACCACCCAAAAAATGACCCAAAATCAGCCCAAAACCAGCCCAAAAACCGCCCAAAAAATGACCCTAAATCAGCCCAAAAATGACCCAAAATCAGCCCAAAATCACCCCAAAAACTGACCCAAAATCAGCCCAAAAACTGACCCAAAACTGGCCCAGAACAGCCCCGGATCACCCCAAAATCACCCCAAAATCACTCCAAAAAATGATCCAAAATCACCCCAAAAACAGCCTAAAGGTGGACCCAAAATCAGCCCAAAAACTGCCCAGAACGGCCCCAAATCAGCCCAAAAACAGCCCAAAACTGACCCAGAACGGCTCTGGATCAGCCCAAAATCACCCCAAAAAAATGACCCAAATTCACCTCAAAAACTGACCCAGAAACTGACCCAAAATCAGCCCAAAAACAGCCCAAAAAATGACTGCAAATCAGCCCAAAATCAGCCCAAAACCCGCCCAAAAAATGACCCTAAATCAGCCCAAAAACTGACCCAAAACTGGCCCAGAACAGCCCCAGATCAGCCCAAAATCAGCCCAAAATCACCCCAAAAATCTCCCAGAAACTGACTCAAAATCAGCCCAAAAAATGACCCAAAACAGCCCCAAAATCAGCCCAAAAACTGACCCAAAATCAGCCCAGTAACTGACCCAAAACTGAAATGACCCAAAACAGCCCCACACCCCAAAAACTGACCCAAAATCAGCCCAAAAACTGACCCAAAACTGCCCCAAAATCACCCCAAAAACGGCCCCAGAATCAGTCCAAAATCACCCCAAAAACTGACCCAAAACTGCCCCAAAATCACCCCAAAAACTGGCCCAAAATGGCCCCAGATCGCCCCAAAAATCAGCCCAAACACCACCCAAAATTACCCCCCTGACACCCCCAAATCCCCCCTCCCCACC